AATCAAACCCAGGACCTCTCAGTCCGCAGGCTGACGCTCTATCCACTGAGCCAAACCGGTTTCGGCCATCCTCCCCTTCTTGAGGAATTCAGACTCTTCTCAAGGCACCCTGCTTGAGTCTTTCCTAGCTACACAAACACTTAATGAACGTTAGAAATCTCACAGCCTCCAGATCTTCTTTGTCCCTGGGAGTCATCTTGATGAAGGAGTTCAATTGGCAGGTCCTTCTCTAAGCCTCTGTGTACTCATCTGTAAGATGTGGGAAGTAGTCCTGGTCCTGCCTGTGGCAGAGGGAAGATGTGATATAGAGCAAACAAGTGAATCCATATGAAAACGCCGTGTAAACCTGCTCCAATAAAATGCTGGGGTTGGGTGTGTTATAGATTTCACAGTGAGGTGACTTGAACCATAATGGGTAGCAGAGAGAATGAGCCAGGAGACTATGGGTAGGGCTGCTCAAATCTGTCTTCTGGATATGACAAATATTTCAAAGAACATGTCCTCTTGAAGAAAGCAAATGAGCATTATTTGTACTTCTTTCTTCTAGGAATGTGTGCGTGTGAGGTTGTTTTTATATTCTTCCAATAAGCAGATTATCTCATTTAAGCCCTAAAACCCCTCCCAACTGTGGTCACTTTTCATAGACTCCTCGTTCTGAGAAGGGACTACGAGTACAGAAATCTTTGAGCCCCAACTCCTCCTTGTGTGGAGTGTGGAAGCAGACCCATGATAGCCAGGGCCTGATTCTGCCTCATTGCTGGCTGTAGCTGAGGAACCACACCCCAAATCTCCTCACCAAGACCTGCGCTCTTTTCACTGGAACCCATGCTGATTCTAAATCTGTGACACAGCAGATTAATAAACTAAACTATCAACATTTAATCAGAGTTGAGTGATTTATTTGTGCAGGATCTTCAAACTCCGACTCCAGGCCTCTTCATCTCGCTGAGCTGGTTCCCAGGGACAAGGAAGGTCTGGAGGCTGCGAGATTTCTAACAGCCATTGAAGAAGTTTCCTGTGGAAGCCAGGAGTGCTGGGCATCTTGAGAAGAGTGTGAACTCAAGAAGGAAGGCTGGTTTTGTAGACAGGAAATACAGAGTCAACATGCAGATGCCACCAGGAGGGTGGCGCTGTACGGGGAACTGGGTACAAGGGGAGATGTTTCTGAGAAGCGACCACCAATCTTGGTCGGGAGGCCTCTGGCCGGAAAGGAGCACAGGAGTTGTCACCCGGAAAGGCCTTCACTTTCCAGCTGAGGAGAGGATGAGAGCAAAACTCAGGTCTTTAAGGGAGGCTGCTGCAAATTGGACCCACCCCACAGTTTATCCGAGGAAAACAGTGGTAAACGGAGTAGGAAGGAAGCTAATGCCTAATGGAGGTCATCTTCTCCAGTACAGGTTAGAAGGAACGAATAAAAAATACTAGAAAAAAAATGGTTTTAAAAGCATTTTCCTCAAATAGTACCAGTAAAATTGGTTCCAAATTAGAATTTAAATATTGTCAGGTGTTTTGAAAGAGAAAATGGTGTATCTGTAACAGAACACCTCTCTCTCTCTCTCGGAGCATAAGGGACATCAGTGCAAAGTAGTCCAGTAGCAATAAGGGAAAATGCAGAAGCAGCCCTTCACTGGAGTTGATGTTCTGTGTGAAGCGAGAAGCAGGGGGGAAAAACTGACAAAAGCAGGTGGAAGAAGAGCTGAAGAAGAGTTTGCAGAAGTAGATGCGTTGACTTGTTCCTTTGGTACAATGAAGTCTTAACTTGCTGGTGGATGAGAAGTACCGAGCCTGTCTGTGCTATCTTTGTGAGAGTATTTCGTTTTCCAAGTCATTGTATCCTGCATCAACTCTTTGAAAATCAGTTAGGTGATGTGACTTCCAGGACTTTAGTTTGAAGATTCATTGACAGTTTTTAGTTATCCGTGAAAGAGAAGTCCACATTGAGTTAGGATCTCTGTATTTTCCATGAAAAGGCTATATGCAACGTGTTTAATAACTGAAATATTTACCCCCCCCCCTTTTTTTTTTTGCCAGAAGACCAGTATTTCCAAGGTGTGTATGTGGATGATTCTTACCTGTATTTCATGTGGAACCAGAAAGATAAAAGATAATAAAGGCCAAAGAAAAATTAAAGTTTGAAAACTGTTTTAATGTCTTTGTTTCTCAGTTTATATAGGCAGCTTGTCCTCGTGTCTTTCTTTTGTGCGTGCTAATTAAATGCTAAAAGTGGCCTTCAGTTAGTGCAGTAGTCTAGTAGTTTGCAGGATGTGAAGGCACAGAAACTTTCAAGAGAAGCAGTGAAGTGCAAACTAAGTACCCAGAACTACAAAGCAATGTTGAGAAGTACCTCTCTGAAATTAAACTCACGAAGTATTTTTAATAATTACCATCACAGTTCTTTACTTGGAAAAGCAATGTTTCTTTTCTCCCTAAACAGGTATGTTCCTGGTAGTTAAATGTGGATGACTGGCCTGATTTCTACGTGCAGGTGAGAGGGAGAAACTAAACTCTCAATCCTGAAGGCAGGATTATTTTAAATGGGCTTTTAAAAGTCCCAAAGCGTGAACATGACACTATCATGTTCACTAAGCATTTCTTGCTCATTTGCTAGGAACAAATAATTTAAAAAACAGAACGTGCCATTGCGTACTGAAGGGAGTTGACTTCAAAAGCTCTGGGAGGGCCTTTCCTGATCCTCAGGGACTTGGATTCCTAGGGCCATCCTGTGGGGACTTGGCATAGGGGGAAGGGGGAAGGTTAACCACCTGGTGTTGGACCACATCAGGGGCTGTTGGAGCTGCCACTTGACGCATTGACTTCTTGGTGAAAGATGCCAGAATCTGGAAGTGGGGGAAGCGGGACTTGTTTATAACATGTGCACTGATGGGATAGTATTACAACCTTCAAACGTGTGGAAAGGTGCCAGCCATCTCACCCCAAACTCAGGTTGCCTCCTAAGAACGCAAACCTTGATGGAGCATGTACAGAACGCACGCTTTATCAGAATCAGGTGTCCACTCTGGAGACACAAAAATTGTCACTTGGATCTCAGTTCTTTTGTACAGGAATACTGCGTTTGGGAATCCATTTGCTAGAAAGTACCCGTGCCACACAAATTCTGCAACTCGAACTTGCTGCTAACTTCAATTCGTGAGTAACAGTTTAAATTCATGTTAAGTCCAACAGAGCCCTCTGGCCTCCCCTACAAAAGAGATCGCAGGAAGAGATTATTAAAGCTTCTATTTCAATGGCTTTTCCTTAAAGTGAGCACTGAAAGTATATGTGAGTGGGTGGTTAGGAAACTGTTAGTAGTTAGTGTCTTCTCTAAAGGCAGAACTCTGGAAATGAAAAATATCCTGGCTTCCCAGCAAATTGTTTGAATGCTGTGCCACCCAGGCACCAACTGAGCAGGACCTGCAGAGGGCCTGAGCACTCCTTCCACCGGGTGTATTTGGAACCCCATTATAATGGGTCTTTCCAAAGATATCCACGAATAATTAGCCTTTGGCATCGGTTAGACTTAAAGAAAAATCTGTGTAAGGTTTTCATTATATTGAGGGTCCAGTAAAAACCTTTTCCATCCCCCTTAAAGATAAAACAAGAAACATTGTCTCCTCTACCAAACATTTTAGCCCAGGTTTAATTTCAATGCGAGCATCAATTTGATAACAAATCATTGCAGAACAGTTCGAATAGGCCTACATTTGTGTTGATGTTAACGACTTATAATCACCTTTATGTTAGGCCTTAAAGCTTTATTATCCTTAAATATAGCTGGCATAGTGGACCATTAAACACGGAAGTGATCTGAGATACTGATTGGGGTAGCAGCCAAAATGTTAAGGTGCCTGAATTACTTTTTGTAACATTTTTACACTGAGCGCTCGTGTAATTTTTAAAATAAAACCATCTCTGCTTTCCAGGGGAGCTGTCTCTCTTTTAAAGCTGTCTTTCTTTAAATTCGCACCATGTAGGCATACACACAACCTCTTTCAGCTAGTATAATAAATGTCCCTGCTAAATATAAGTAGTTCCTCGCAGTAGCTTTCCTACGGAGAGGAAAAGGCTAAGGACGTGAAACTTCTGGGCAGAGGACTGGAGTCTCTGGCCGCCCTGAGTCTGTCTCCGAGCCTGGCCTCCCCACCTTCGTGGACTCTTTCAGGGCCGGTGGCCGCCGGCTGCCGGGTCTGCCCCGCGGCTCAGCCTGGCACGGAGGATGCCACTCGGTCCTTCCGTCCTGCTCGGGAAGTACTGTTGACTTGGCGACCCATTTCGAAAGCTTGGCCGAGGCCACCACGCACAAGGGGCATTTTCTCCCCCGGCTCCAGCGGGAGCCCCCACCCTGCCATTGCGATATCTTTGCGGGTCGCTCGAGAGTTCTGCGGGGTCGTCGGGGACTGAGTGCCCCAGCGGCGGCCGCGGCCGCTCGCGCCCTCCCGGGACTCCCCTCCCGAAAGCCCCGCGGCAGCGTGGACGCCGCGCCTCGGGGTCGGGTTTTTGCCCCCCACCCCCACCCCGCGGGACCCTGCCCGCCCTGCGGACCGGCCCCAAGTTGCCGAATAGCTCAGATGCTTGTCATATTTGCGGTCGCACCACTCTGCAGGCTGTGCGCGCGCCGCACCCGCCGCCGCCTTTGTCACCAGCCGTTCGGTCCTTTAAATGAGTGTTTTCTAGAGAGTGTATGTGTGTGTGGGTGGGGGGGGCTGTTGGGGGGGGGGGAGCAGGGGTCCCCGGGCCCGGGTGTCTCTTTTCCGCTCCCCTTCTCCTTAAGCCTTAAGAGAAAAGAAAGGGCGCATCGGCCGGAGAGGCAGCCGTGGGCAGCGCTGCCACCCGGCGTCTCCAGTGCGCCCGCTGCCCCTTCCTGCTCCTCGGGCGGCCGGGGCCCCGCTCGGCATTCATCGCGCCTCCGGGGACCGCCGGGGGAGGGGGCGGGGCCGGGGCCGGCGGGGGCGGGGCCGGCGGGGAGGGCGGGGCCTGCTGAGCCCGGGCCGGGGCTCGCGGGAGGCTCGCGGGCCGCACGTCACTCCTGCACGGCGAGTGCTGGAGCACGAGCTGCCGCTCGCTCGGTCAGGGCGCCCCCTCCGCCCGCCTCCCGCTTCCTCCTCCGCTGCCCGCCGCCGCCGCCGCCTCCGCCGCCACCATTGTATAATGTTCCGAGCGCACAGGCAGAGGACGGCGGAGGCTTAGCTTCAGTCTCGCCTGCCGCCCGCTCCCCGGCGCCACCCTCGGCCCCCGGAGCCGGGCGCTCCGCATGGAGCGGGACTAGCTGGAGGAGTGGGCTGCCCCTCCCGATGCGCTAGTTCCCAGCGGGAGCTGCATGTGGTAAGTTCTCCCGGCGCCGGGCCGGAGGGGGTCCTCCGCTGCGCTGGGCTCCCCCTGGGCGGGGGGGCGGCGGGGGGACCCGGCCGAGGGCCGGGAAAGCCTGGAGGGCGGAGGAGGGCCCCGGGCGGCCGCGAGGGTCGTGGAAGCCGCCGCGACTGGGACCTGGGCTGGAGCAGGTACCGGGAGGAGAGCTCCCTCCCGCTGCTGCCCGGCCCGGCGCCCGGGGACGCCCGGGGTGAGGGCTGGGACCCCCCAGCCGACGGGCGCAGATCTGCTGGGGGAAGGGCCGGGGACAGGAGTCACGGACCGGGGTCAAGAGGGTGTCGGGAGCTCCCCGAGCCCAGCCGTGAGGCCCAGGGAGCTGGGAGCTGTCGCTTTTGCTGCCGGGATGTGTGTGCGTGTTGGTGGCGGTTGTGTTGTTGTGAACGTGCGAGACTTTTTTTTTTTTAAGGCTCGGATTGCTGCCGCCAAGGCTGCTTCACTTTTGAGTTCCGTGCCCGGGTTTGCATCCAACTTGCTCTGGCGTGTTTCTGTGAGTTTTCCTGTGTTTTTCAGCTTAAAAACAGCCCTCTCTACCCTCTTTTCGCCCGTGTGCCAGGGTATTGATTTTGAATATACATGCATATTCAACTCTAAGTTAGAAATTTACAAGTCATCTTGGTGGTGACCGCCTGTGACTGAAAGGGAGGGGGTGGAGGGGAGCCAGCTGTCCCAAGCCCTGGACTTTGTACCGTCAAGACAGAGGGTGCTGGAAGAGGGACAGTGCATGGAGAGAAAACCCAAGTTGTTCTTACGTTTCTCCTTGGTCATTAGTTACCTCACCTTTAGCAGAATTCATAGTAATAGACTGAGATGGGAGGAGAGTTCTGGGTTTACTCTTGTTTCATGAGAAGATCAGATAGGTACTTTGTCTTAGAATAACTTTTTGCTTTCACATTGGGTAGTTTCCGGATCTTTCGGGAGGTGGAAAGTAAGTTTTTACAGGCACTGAATGGGGAAGGGCAGTCAGCAGGGTGAGCCATCAGGCTCAGACTGGAGCAGTTTTTGTTTGAATCGAATCGAGCAGCCCCAGTTGGCCTTCAGGAAGATAGTACGTAAATGTTTCCAAGCTTTGTTCATGAAATATGCTTTCTGATTTCCCAATATATGTTAAGAAATGTCTACAAATGTGTGTAAAGAGCCTGGGAGTTGTAGTAGCCAGTAGGATCCCTGAGGCCTTGAGTGTTCAGAGCAGCCTTTTATAATGAGGGACTAGTCTCTGACAGGAGTGAAGTGGGCTCTTGGCTCCACTCAACCCCTGGAGGACAGTCCACCTGAGAGCCTCCGGGTTGTTTTGCTGATGGGGGGGGGGGGGTGAGTTGCTCAGCTAACTAGAAGGCACGTCTCACCCCAAGAGCTCCTCCCATTGCCATTTATTCCTCCCCCTTTTTATAGCAGTCTATTCTGATTTGAGTGTGCTGGGGTGTGCTGTGAGGATGAAAATACCCTCCTAAGATCCCAGCTTCTGGTACGAGCAAGACTCTCTGCTTCCCTGTTCATTTTATCAATGTCTTCGTTAAATTTTTTTTTTTTTTTTTAAAGTGAGGAATGGTAGCAAGTTTTCCTTTCACTTCATTGATTTACTTAGAGGTGTTACAGGTTGGTGTAAAGTTGTTTATGTTGGTCATCAAGCTTGGCGCCCTTAAAATAATTTTAACCCCCCCTGCCCCCCCCCCACTCCTAATTACAATGTGTATAACCATGTTGCTCTCAGATGAGAAATCTTATGAAGTAGATTTGACAGCCTTTTGGTGTGTTTGTTTTAAACACTCAGCTCTGTTCCTTGCTGTATGACAGCAGGTAGGAGAGAGGACTGGAATTTTGTAATACCCATCAAGTGCGGACAAGGGGTGTCCTAGGGAACAGTTTTATTGTCAGGCAAGTGTCACCGCTGCTCCTTAGGTAACAGCTGCTCAAGCTTGTTTCCCTTTAAGGACCAAGAGAAGGATATTAACTCACATTTAGAAACATCTTTGGACTCCTATTTGCTGAATTGCCCCTCTTGAAAGCATTTTTATTTAATTCAGGTGCTAAAATTTACCCAGTTCCTATCCACTGATCATTAATAATGAGCATAGGAAAATAGCATATATTACGATATTTTAAAACTCACTCAGATTTGTGTAGCAGCTGATAGCTTTTGGCATCCACTGTTTTAAATAGTGATCCAGTGGCAGAATAAGTTTCAACACTACTTTAGAAACATGTACACATACACAAAACAGATCAAAAGATAGAAGGGGGGGTTGGAGATACACATCCACATACTTAAAGATATTTTTCCTGTGGCTAAATAAAGGAGCAGATAACAAATTATCAGTATCAAATTATACTAAAGGTTTACTCTCAGCCAAAACATTTTATAATACCTAAGATGGGTAAAAGCTACAATAAAAACTTTTAAAGGTTTTTGTTTGTGTACTTATTTATCTATTTAATTGTTTTTTTGCTGTAGTTTCTTGTTGAGGAACACTGGTAAGAGCATAAAGCTATATCTTATATTTCATTTATATTAGAAAAATCAAGATGATTTCGTCAGTTTTACATGTAGATTAAAATATGTATAGATAAATATGGTATTTTAGAGTGTGAACTTTAATTCACTTGTAGAATTTTTTAAAAGTTTGCTGCTACAGAAATTTTATATTTAGTGTTACGGCATATCCTATAGGGAATAACTATAGTTGTATTAGTTTCTTGGCAAAGAAGAGAGAGAGAGAGAGAGAGACTTTCTCTCTGATTACTGAGCTCAAAGATCACTTGTATACTAAAGGCACCATAGGGCAAGCTCCAGTTTTATGGAAAACTGGCCTCGCGATAAGGGGAACAGTCACCATCCTAGGTCTTTCCATGAATTGATCTGGGCCAGCGGAATATGAAATCCTAAAAGTGCAGTGGCCACTGCTTATGCACACTTCATGTATTTTTTGCCCACTGTTAACATTCCTTAAACAATGGACAGAAACCTGAAAGCTGGGATGCCGGCAAGTGTGTGGATGTTCAATTTAGTTTTCATAGTCTCGAAGGAGCCGGCGACTAACCAAAGTTGGCCTGTCTTTTTAAGAGAAAGGGTCTGCAGTGGCCAGTGCAATTGGCATTGAAGGCAAACTCCTGCCCTCCGCACAGATGCTGGGACACCCTGTGAGCAGAACTGTCCCCGGAGCGCCCATCCCTCATTGTGCAGCAGCGTCTCTCTCCATGAGCACTGTGTGGCAGTTCATGCTTTGTATGAGTCTGTGAATGGCATATGTCAGGCCAATAAGACAACATTTCTGTTCTGGGTAATAAATAGAGGCCTTGTTTTTTGTTGTTGTTGTGTTTTGTTTTTTTCCTTGAAGATCATGAGACAAACAAAACATGCTTGGCTGTCTGAAAATTTTCTTTGAAATACAAATAAAAATCGAAAAATACCAACACAATATCTTTGACAACGTATGATTTCTAATAGGACGAAAGAGATGCGTATCTTCAATGCGGTGCAAACTCCCTTTTGGAAATTCTGCTCTCTGTTGTGGTCTGAGGGCCCCTAAAGCTGGAAAGGCTGGTTCGTCTCCTCCCGAGATCTCCTGTTCCTCAACTGAACTGAATTGAAAGTACCTGCCAGGTGTCACTGAAGCAAGCACCACAACTTGATGGATCTCTTTAAGCAATCGGGGAGCCCGTAGCTGTCTTCTGCACCCACTGCAGCTTTCAGTTCCAAATGGAGTTGGCATCGGCTGCTCTCTCAGCTGGCCTCCTCTCAGGCTTGCACACTGTGTGTCTAGAGCCGGCCCTGCCTCTGAGCAGGGGCCGCGGAGGAGCGGAGGAGCGAGGGGTGAGTGTGCCTGGCTGGGCGCCGCCCTCAGTGGAGTGAGCTATGCGGATGCGTGGGGTGGGGGCTGGAGGGAGGAGAGTGGAGGACAGAGCTCTGGAGCCGACTGTGCAACTGCTACAGCAGGTCTGACTAGTTTTAGGTGCCCAGAGGCAGCTTTGTTTCTCTAGTAACTTCGGGTAGCAGCAAACCTAAATTCTTAAAATGACTTCATGTCTGTATTACTGTCTTTTTCGCCTCTGTGCAAAAAACCTGTAGCTTTGCAGAGTTACTGTTTAATTCTAAGATTTTTTTTTTCTTTAAAAACTTTCATAGGTTGTGTGTGTGTGTGTGTGTGTGTGTGTGTGTGTGTGTGTGTGTTTCAGGAGTTTCACATAGGAGAATGGATTCTGGCTCTTAAGGACATTTTACACACACACACACACACACACACACACATTTATAGTGGGCTGTGTGAACCTGTTGAACAAAAGTAAAAAGTTCTACTTGAATATGCCACGGTCAAAAAATTAAATACTGAAAAGCCAGCCTGCAGATGAGCCTTTAGCCCCTTGCTCTCCTCTCTCTGGCTGGCTGCTTATCATCCCACACCACGCTCCGGCAGGCCTGCTGGAGTACCCCACCCTGGTGTTGAGAAGGGTTGCCCAAGTTAAACTCAGGGAATCTGAAAGTCCCAAGGTCATCTCTCCTCCAGACAGGTTTGCATAAAGTTCTATCCACACTAAGGAGATAACGAGGTGGCGACTGTTTTAGACTGATCTATCCTCCCCGAGTGCTTCTCCCGTTTTATAACAATAACTGGATACAGATTTGCTTTTCAGATTTCTTTCCCTGTTTTGAGGAGGGAGCCTCCGTGTATGTGTGTGTGCTTCTGTGTCTTCCCTGCTGTCGCAGAGAGCCGAGCTGGCCGTGGCGTTTGAGCCCTGTGGTCTGCGGCTGAAGAAGGTTTCGCACTGCCTCTCTGCTTGCCATGAGCCTCCTGGTGGTCTTCTCTGAACAGTTTTTAAAACAGATTAATATTTTAAAAGTATTTTTTTACCATCTGATGATTGTTTGCTGTCCAACAGTAATCGGCTTACAAATTCAAAATGCAGATCCCTAAGTAAGATAGGCGGGAGGAATCGGAATGTTCAGGAATGTCCAGGGGACCAGCGGGGGAGGTTGGAGGCAGGCGATCTCTCCCTAAAGGTCATTGAAGATCCTTGAAGTAGTAAGAGGTAGCTTCCTAAGAAAGTGAATATTTATTGCATTCAGTGTAGTACTCTGATTATTTTGATTGTATTTGACTAGATGACTTTGTGTAAAGTTCTGTGGGTCATTAATTAACAATACAGAAGAAATACATTTGATCTCAGAATAGCCCCCAAAGTAAGTAAGAATGAATGGCCGCCACATTTACAAATTATCACTCACTGCCCTCGGGTTTAGTTTGTATCGTTTCCTTTTTCTACTTTGTGAATTATTCGCATATATGATATCACGTGTAAGTCGTTTTTGTAAAACCTTATCACTAGCCTGCCTAGTTCATAGAAATAAGTAAACATTCAGAATATGTATGTTGCTTACATGGGACAGATATTTACACAATAGAATAGTTATTTCCTTCCTTTTACATGCCTATCTTTATACTCAAATGTCATATTGTAGAAATTTGATAGTTTTCTTTTAAGGAATTCAGGTTTAGATCATGTAATACAATGTTTAGGTTCACTCAGTAAGTAAATAAATAACATTTCTCTGCTTTTCTTCTTTAAACTGGGCATGTGGAAATTAAAAGATGAAATATGTTTTGTGTTTGTGAGGAATGTTTTATAGCATGCCTTCTTTTAAGCAGTTTTTCACAGTAATAAAGCATTCCAACATTGAAAGCAAAGAAAATTAAAAAGAAATCATAACCTTTAAGAAACACTTCCATCCAAACACTTCCTGATGTAACATACTTAGTTTGTATTTGTTTTATTCAAGGTCAGTAGTTTAACAAAACCTCAAAGGAAATCTTTTGTTTAAATTAATATCCAATCGCACTTTTCACTGATTTGTTCTAACAAATTACATTTATCTGTTTTAGTATGTCTTTTTTTATATATCAGATAGCCCTCTTTTAAAAAAAAACAAAAAACAACAACCGTCACATACTTTTGGCAAAGCATTTGGTTTCTACCTTAAGCTCCCCCCACCTCCCATGACATTGTATTAAAGGTCTCGTGTGAGGGGAAAAACAAGGTATCTTTGGGGAAAAGATGCTACAGGAGGGCTGAAACCAGAATCCCATCCAAGCAATTATAAATACAGGAGAAAAAAATAGTTTCATTATGCATAGGAATGGGGGTGGGGTGAGGTTTGGTAATCTTTACAGGCACATAATCTTAAGGGAAAGAAATTCAAATCTAAGTTCTCATGTTAATGAGGCTTTAGATTCAGCTAAAGATGTGTTTCTGACATCAAATTATTATGAAGTAGCACCATAATTTAAATGCTTACTGTAATATATTATTTATAAAAAATTACAATAATATTTACCAAGTTTCCTATGGAAATATTGGAGATCATAGTTCAACTCCTATGGACATTCTTACTGAACACACATCACTTTACACTCTCATCGAGAACTATTTAGTTCTCGCACCCAACTGACTTATTTTGCCTGCTAAATGCAGTTAGTATGTTCACATATATAGTTTTACACAAACCCTTCTGTGTAAAAGAACTGAAGTTTGTATTTGAATGGAAGGAATTCCAGCAAGCACTTATAAAACTTGCCCCATTATCTCTCTAAGGTTAACTGTGTTGCGTTTTATAATTAAATGACTTCTCTCCAATATCCTTTATGAAGCTTTCCCAAATAACTGCTGTGTCTGTTTAGCATGTAAGTAATTTCCTGATATTAAGAAGCAATAGGATTACTGAAGGCTTTTCTATGCTAGTAAAATTCTTAGTGCTTACCTTAAAACTCATTGTGTGGTTGGGACTCTACCTTAGTACCCCCAGTGGAAATTCTGAACTGTTGGCTTCTCTGAATCCACATCTTATCACATGGGTTTGTGTGTTTGTTATTGTTTGTGTGTTCTCACTTGAGAAATCCTCCCAGAATTTTAACCATGGTCTTTGAAACATCAGTGTTTCTTATATACAGGCAACAACCTTTTCTACAGACAGTATTTCCAGAACTTGGCTTGCTTAGCAGTGTCCTGCAGAGACCGGAATTGAGGAACAATCTTGGAAAAGTGTATACTCTGAGAGATCTGTAGGTAGACATTGCTGTGAGTAATCAGACTTCAGGAGTGCCTTGTTGCTCTGCTACGCCCCCTTGTGGCTGGATGTGGAATTCTGTCTTTCAGAGCTTGAAGGAGTTCCGACTCCTACTGGGCATGTTTGTTTACTACACGGAGCACTGATAGTTTTCTTCTGTGTAAAATAATCTATCAGGTTAATAAAATAGCTCTCGGTGAGAGTGTAAATAATTGATTGTGCTTACTTGATTTTTTAAATTTGTAGAACCTATTGATGTGTTGTATTTTTTTAAACTTTTTATTATGGAAAATTGCAAACATACTCAAAAGTAGAGGGAAGAGTACAATGCACTCCCTTGTACTCATCACCCAGCGTCCACAGTTAGCAACATTTTGTCAGTCTTGTATCAGCTACACAACCAGGGTTTTTTCCTAGAGTATTTTAAAGCAGGTTCCAAGCATCATATCATTGAGTATGTTCTTGTTAACCTTAAATTCTGTATAATCTTGCCCAGTCTTTTACTTTACATGTGCAATGCTTTAAGCCAGAATCCTTAGGTAAAATAAACGAATTATTAGCATTTCCACTGTCTCTGAAAGAAAGTGACTGGTGTCCCTTGCTTCAGGAGTTAGGTTTAAAACCCAAAATTCCCAGCTGTTGGAAGAACCAATCAGACAGGATATTAGAAACATTTTGTACTACTTAACAGTTGCACTATAAAGTAGCCCATTTTTTCTTTCCAGATGTTGATTAACCAGGCCATAATTTATTCCAAAGAAATATTTACTTGAAACATTATCTCCCAGAATTGGACTTATTTTGCCTGCTAAATGCAGTTAGTTGTCAAGCTTTAAGTGTTTTTTTTTTTTTCCAAGAGAACAGATTATATTTAACAAACTAATAGTGTCAGAAACTGTCTTCAACTTAATACAGGTGTGTAAAAATCTTGAGCGGGAAAGCTAGAGTGTCTTAAAATGTGGCCTTTAGAAGACTTCCCCAAATAGTACAAGTCTTTGTTGTTGTTGTTTTAAGTTCACTTAGAGATTGACTTCCTGGCTAAATTTCGCTGGATCTCCAGGCTTTGAGATGCTGTCAAGAAAGCAAAGCGGATTGTTCCCCCTGAAGTTCAGAAACTGTCTCCCTTGGTCTCCTTCGAAAGTTATTGTCTGGCGATTACTAAGCCCCGGGTGCGGTGCCGGCAGCCGGAGCCCCCTGCACCGGGGAGAGGCGGGGCAGGCACGCTGCAAACAGTGGTGTCGGGTTACAGCTGCAGACTAGCGCCCCAGCGCGCCCAACTGGCTTCAGCTAGCGACTGGCTTCATAATGACATTGCTGATTTGTTAGGGGAGGCTTTGTCTTACTTACCAATTAGTATGGCTGTGACTGCAGGGACCTCATCCTGGATGAGCTTTGGTTTGAAAAAAAGCCCATCCGGGCAGCTTTAGGGGCTGTGTAACTGACATCCCTTATCTTCTGGGAGCCCCTACGCTTGTCTGTAAATAATAAGAGAGGCTTTCCCCCCCAGTGAAATTTTTCCCCTGTTATCTGCCATTCCCCTGGGCCAGAGGCAGTCACTTTGGAGTCTGAAGGCAGCCTTTGGGGGTGCTGGTCCTCCCCCCTTGTTTCCTGGAGGCTCAACAAATTGCCACCCAGGTGCTTGCAGGCGGTGGGGGGGGGGGGGGGCGGATGGACTATCACTACTTCTGTGCTTGCCACACACAGCATTACACAGCCTTGGATAGCAAAACCTTGGAGGACTTGCCTGTTTCTCTCAGCTTCCTCTCCCATCCTGTCGGCACCACCCCTACCATGTCCTTTGGGGTGGCCTTGTTCTCCTGGCGTGTTTTGTTGTTACCTGCGGGAGGGAGGGTGCTAAATGAATGGACATTATCGGATGTCTGGGTCCTGTGTGTTTTTAAGGTGGGATATTTTAACTGTGGAAAGTTGTCCAGGCAAACGTGTCTTCCCCCATTGAAGTGGGAGCAGCTTTCCTTCCGGCCTGAGAGTTGCTGTGTGGCAGCCTGCGGGCAGAACCATGGCTCAGCGGCCCTGGCTGGTGGGTAGGTGTCTTTGTTAGGAGCAGAGGCTGGATACTCGGACCACCTCTAAAGCAGGGTCCAAAACACATCTTAAAGCGACTGTGTGGGGTGAGAGAGGAGAAATGAGAAGATTCTGTTTCACAAGTTGTCGCAAAACCATTTCTGGCCGGCCTCTCTCTTCTGGTTTTGGAAGTCTGTCACATACACAATAATTTTGACAGGGGCGCTCCTTTCTTCCGCCACTACCCCTAAAAGAAACGGAAAGAATGTGTTTCCACTTAAAGGACTTGGGGTTTTGGCGACACAGGATGTCAGAGTGAGGAAATAGCCTCTGCTGGCCTCTTCGGAGACACTCGTCACTTCTTCTTAGCCTCTCTCTTCAAACGAGGTAGGTCCAGGAGGACAGGCCATGGTTCCGAACTGTTGGCATTGCTGCCGCCTCTCTGTGATGAGCAGTGTCTGCATCGGCACTTCTGGGCGCTTCAGCCACCAGTGGTCACACTTGTGGTCACACTGGACAGTGGAGTTGAAGAGATTAGGGATGTGGCTTCTTAAAGCTCCCCTTTGAATTAGGCACCTTTTCCTTGAGAGCTGTTAACTAGGGTTTAAAAGGTGGTGTTTTTTGTGTGTGTGTGTTTTTTAAGTATGTATAGTATTCAGATCTAAGTGTATAGGCCAGTGACTTATACCCAGGCAAACACCAGTGTCTTCGCCACGCGGGCGAGGAGGTAGAGTGTGACCAGCTCCGCAGAAGCCGCGTGCCCTGCTAGGCTACCCTGCTAGTCCCCGACTGCAGACACGCGACTTAGTTCTGCCTTGTTCGCTGACTTTTGAAACAACATGTCACTTAATCGCGAAGCCTGTTCCACTTCTGAGAAGGGAAAACACTAGATTCTGGTTGTTATTTACTAGTCCAGAAGGACGTTGGAATAAGCTCTTGAAAATGTGCACAAGGAGGAATCAGCTGAGCCTTGAGTTGTTTAAAAGTAATGACTTCTTGGGTCCCCCATCACCCATCCTTGCGTCTGGGTGGTGTTGAGCTGGGAGCCGATTTCACACCCTCCGCAGGCACAGGGCCAAGCGCCTCACCTCGTTGCTGCCTTTTTGACCACGTGGTCAGTCCCACCTTTCCCAATCTTGTGCTCCCTTCAGAAACTGGGACGAAGCTATCAATTTTGACCCCCTCTAAAGACCTTTTGAAGCATTAATTCCCTGGATATCGAGCAGGATGAGATGGGTGGCTTTCCTTCTGCCTGGGGTGATGACTGTTGTTTGGGATGAGTTACGTGAAAGCACAATGCAATGTTTACATCTCTTTTGGACCAGCACAGAGTCAGAAAGCCAGAAAGGCAGCCTTGGTGATGGGCTGAGGCGGGCTCCCCACTCAGGAGACCAGCAGTGATGCTGCCCGCACCCTGCAGGGGCCTGTCAGTCCGTGGCTACCAGGCTCTGGGCCTCTAGGGGGCACTAGTGGCCACTGAGGGCTATGGTGAGCCTGCAGGTTAGAGCAATGGGTTTTGTTGTTGTTAGTGGGGCTGACAGAAGTGGTAGTTTACACCAGTAAATTTAACATCCTTTTTGTTTTATTTTATTTTTTATTTCAGAGAGGAAGGGAGAGGGAGAGCTAGAAGGAGAGAATCATTGATCAGCTGCCTCCTGCACGCCCCCTACTGAGGACTGAGCCTGTGACCCGGGCATGTGCCCTGACCGGGAATCGAACCGTGACCTCCTGGTTCATAGGTCGACGCTCAACCACTGAGCCATGCCAGCTGGGCCAGGTTTAATAGTCTTAATTTAAAAATCATGACATTTATTTTGACAGTCCAGATAACATTAAAGGAGAGAGGGGTTTTAAAAAATTTTTTTTTTTAAATCATAGCTTGAATATGTAGTTTTAAAACATGGAATTAGAGAACTTTTTTTGATCACGTGGGTTTTTTAAATACTTACATTTAATAACAATGCCTTAAAAAATGCAAAAGCTGTGAAATGTTGCCCTTTTAATTATTTAGTGTTTAATTTAAACATTTAATTTAAATGTTTCCGTTCCTTTTTGGTCCTTGGGCACAGGCCTCGCCGCCATCATTCACTCTGAGATCACAGTAAGAAGAATCGGGGCCCACTGGCCAGGGGGGCCTGATGTATCCGTCGGAGGAGCTGCGTTCTGTCAAGAAAATTGAGCAGAAGACGTCTTAATTCCACACAGTCTTCTTTCCAATGTCAGCTGTCGGTTGCCATCGCAGAAACGCTGTTTGTTCTTTTGTTCCTTCCTTGCTTAGACACGAATAGGGAAGACTTCAGCCTCAGGTTTAACTGAGTAGACAGATTCTCGGGCTTAAACATGAAATGACCAATTGGGGGGGAGGAAGTCGTGGTTCCTGAGGTGCGGTTTCCTGGGCCCCACACCAGACCTGCTGAATGAGAACCTCGGGGTGGAAGGCAGCATTCTCTGGTAACATGCCCCAGGTGAGTCTGTGCTCACCCACATTCCGGAACTCAGGAGAGGCCGGCACAGGGGAGCGTGCTGAGCAGAGCCCTCCCTCTGTGCCCCGGTCCCAGGACTCCCTCAGCCGGCCCACCTCTCCTCCTCACACCCCCCCTCCCTGGCCCAGTTCACACTCAGGACCAGAGACACGCGTCTCCAACTTCGTGACCGTTCTTCTCTGGCCGTCCCGTAGTGTCTTTCCTCATTCTTTCCATTTACCGTTTACTTATTCAGCAACTGTCTAGGGAGCATCTTTGGTGGGTCAGGGACTGCCCTGTCCTGAGGAGGTGAACTGAACAGGCAGGCTGCACCCTCCTGGGGTTTACTGGTTGGGGTGGGAAATAGACATTAAGAGACCATCCCACCTCAAATACAAATCTGCAGGCCTATCTCCAGCAGTCTCTCCGGATACTCCAGTCCATAATAATCTCTCAGGTTCCTTACTGTGGGCGTCACTCAAAATCTTGAAATGCAAACCCCCAAGTATCAGGTAACGCCATCGCCTGTTTCTCCATCCTCTTTTCTTCCGAGGATTCTTCTAGTGACATTTATTGCTTTTGATCATGTGCCCAAGGGGACTGTCGCTTTTGAGGGCAGCCCGGTCCTTCTGAATGAAAGCTGCACAGCCGGAAGCCAGGCTCGGTGTATATAGATTTTTATTCCGTATTAAACTTTGTGGAAAACTCTGAAAGAGAAGTTTTCATTTATATTGCTTCCTGTGAGTTTTGTTCTTTATTTTCAAAACTTTGCTGTAGTTAATAGTTGCTAACAATTATGGTAAGAAAATTAGAAAGCCAGGAGTTTGTTCTAACAAATGTATTGGAGAAGGGAAGGCGTCTTACCGCAAACCTTTCCTGAAGAGCCACTGACTGACTGTTCTAAGGAAGAGTGCCTGTGGTTCGTCTCAGGGCCCTTTGCATGGGCCGCACAGGGAGGCCGCCCCCACCTCCATCTTCCTCTTGGGGGGTCTCTAACAAGCCCTGAAGCCCAGATTCCCTTTTGGGTCTTTGAAGCTGAGGGAGGAGACAAAGTGGGGTGTCACGCCTCAGGGTGGCCTAGAAACCCGGCTGGTCACAAGCGCCTCTTCTGGGTGAGCTCCGGGCTTTCCAGACAGGAACCCCCTTCCCGGTACCTGGAAGCCCTTAATGAGCCCCAGCTACTGCCTGTCTTCTGGCCGCAGCCCGGGGAGGCCTTTGAAAAGGTCACGTGTCTCTCGGATAGCCTGCTCCCTGAGCTATTGTTGTTTCCTGCAGTGCAGTGCTGGAGGCTAGAGGCTCAGGAGCTGCCTGCCGCTCTGGCTTGGGCCTACCTGAGCTCAGGCCCTGAGATGCTGTTTGCTGGCTTCTCGCCCTCCCCTCGGGTTCTTGAGAGGCTTGTATTTTCTTGTTTGAATGGTGCCCTGCTCCACGGAGGTGGTCGGTAAGACGCCACTGAGAGCGAGTTCCTCTCACGTCCTCCCACTTCTAGGAGGCCGAGTGGGAAGACTTGATTCTGAACAGGATTGAGCAAACTTTGGATAAGCTTTAACTTTGTAGAATTGATTTTTAAGTAAAAATGTGGGCTAGGTTCTGTGATGTTGCATTTTATTCCTTTCTATAAAAATGTAGGTGGAAGTAGGGTTACACATCATGATTGTGTGCCTTTTGCAATCTTACTGGGTGTGTGGAGCCAGTTTTGCCTCATAAAGAGAAACAGAGAAATGAAGGCAAACCTGCTTTGAGACACATTCTGTCATGGGTCCTTATTATTTACTCATTTGAAAAGCTTCCAAGATTCGATTTTTTTCTGTCTATTCCTGCTCACAGAGTTTGCCTACACGGGCCCTCCTTCTTCCCCATCCAGACAGCATTACAGATTTCTGATGAGCTTTTCCTAAATCACTGGGGTCATCCCGCCGCGATGACCAGCTGGATCATTCTCATTGGAAATGAGGTGCTTCTCACATGGAAATCCCTCGGAAAGCCTCTCTTCAGCTCTGGGAATTCTGCTAAATGCCTACAGGACTGAACGCTTTGTCAATATTTGAGTCCCAAGAATTCAGTGATTATTTCTAGAGAAATGTGAGTTATTGGAAAAATCCTATTATTTATTTCAGAAACAAATCTTTATCAGAAACAGTTCTATATCAATGACTAAAAGAGAAGGACAAGTCTATAGTGCCTTACCTACCTTTCCTCAAGAAAGCCAGTAAGATTCAAAGTGGCCGTGAGCTTACTAGTTTGCTTTTAGTTGTGCATTTGGTTTACATTGTAGGACAGTGTTTCTAAAAGTTGCTGTGATAAAGAACCAGTTTGTTTGATTTCTTCCTCCTTCATAGACTAATACTTTAGTAGAACACAAGGAAAATAATTGCTAGAGAAACGAAATCAAAAATGCAAAGATGTAAAAACAGAATCCTCATTCTTTATTAGATCTACAAACATACAGTTACTCTTAAGTTTACTATAAAAGTTTCTCAATCATATAGTATCTCTACTTACCTCATCATGGACCAGTAACAGTTTACAGATCATCTATGGACCACACTTTGAGAAACACTGTTTTAGAGTATTTGTGTATGCTACGGGTCTAACATATGTGTGCTTAGTGCTTCAAAAGGCCCAAACTCAAAACATCAGCGTTTGGAGTAAAAAAAAAAAAAAAAAAGTATATTGATTGAGAAGGTACCAACCAAGAAAAATGGGAGACCTTTTGGTGACTCAAATCCATCTTAAGAAGGTACAGAGTTCAGGCTTCTTTTATGTCAAGGGAAGTGGAAAGGGAGGGGCAAGACGTGATTGACTACCAAAGACATACGGGTGCCAGCAAGGGTCTGAGGAAGATTGCTGACCCTGTTGATCCTAGTTGATGTGAGTCCAGCCTCGAGGTTCCTGCAAATCTTTGATAAACCGTATATACTCCCCTTATCTCCTTGGGAGAGGCACCTTCTGGTCAGGGGGTGTTTTTTTTTTTTAATTCAAGGGACAAGCAGGATTCCTCTAATGATTAGCATGTCTGTATGCAAAACTAAATAGATGCCATTGGCCTGAAGGCCATGGGAACGAAGCAGGCTTGACCAAGATGGAGTCAGAGAGGCCGATCCGTTCGCTGTTACATGTATGCATTTGTCTACTCTGTCACACATGTTTAAATGTCTTGGGTCTATTCACATTATAATATATAACATAGATCATCTAACAGCTTTATATGAGAACTAAATGCACTTAGAGCTCTTTGGCAAAAGCGGATTTTCTCTGGAAGTATTTAGATGCTTAAATTGTAAGCAAATATAAACAGTGTAATTGTGAATACAGTTATCTGTTTCAAAACACAGTGGTCCGGTCACACTTCTAAATGCATAAAGTAGAAAGTGTTTTGTAACATGAAACGAAATCACTTCCTCTCGGATTCACACTGAAGTTTAAATGGGCACAGATACTTCAGATAGGAAATGTTCTATGCAAAGTAAATATACAAATGAGACTTTCAGCACTACAGAGCAGGAAATGTTTGTCACATGAGGTCTTGGATAAGCAAGTAGTCGCTATCATACCTCCCTCACCTTAGGGAACAATTCATTATGAGACTGGTCTTTGGTTCTATTGATTGACAGACATTTTCTTAATGTTTATAAAATGCGGAAAAGTGTTTCATGCAAGTAGCTCCACATTTTTATGAGCATTAACAAATTCTCGAGCTGATTCTGACATTGATGCGTTGCAGCTGTCTTCGTCTTTCTCTCCCTGCGACTGAGGCACACGGAGGTCGTCACCTCCAGTGGGACCTGTGTGCCAGGCTCTGTGACCACCTGCATATCTGTCCGCCTCCAGGGGCAGCGTGGCCTTCTTCAACGAAGAGTTGGAAGGAATTTCTGAAGTTTCATTGTGGTTAGCTGTGTCCCTTTAGGATGAGACTCATAGTCCAAAATGATGAGGAGGTGTAGGAGAAACTACTCAGCCCCTGAAGACCAGGCTTTATTCCCCTGAGGGACCCACTGCCTGGCCGAGAGCCCAAGACAGCACAGATGCAGAATGAGTTAGTGAAGGATTGAATGAGGTGCCGTCAAAATCAGCTGAAACAATTCGGTAAAAGGCAAGTCACTGTTAGAAGAAAAGTTGAATAACTTTTTTCAAAAGCACGTGCTCGTACTTAAAGATATCAGAGTGAGTGGCCTTGAGAGCATTTCCGCGTGTCTGTGGGTCCGTGTGTAGAGGGTGTGAGAGCAAGCACGGGCTTGGCGTAGAGCCATGTCTCCTGGTCTGGATGACAAAAGGACAACATTCTCGATTAAATAGTCAGAAGTTAAGGTCCATGAGGCAAAGGCCAGTGGACTTGCACTTGTTGTGTTGAGATGGTCGAAGTTCTGAGAGGAAGGTGCAGCCAACTGAAGGTGTCTTGACTCCGGCCAGGGCAGCAGAGGAGGCGCCTCAGCCTAGGCTGTGAGTGTCAGGCAAGGCGGGGCAGGAGCTGAAGTCCCACCCACTCCCAAATGCTCAAGGTCTGAGCTATGAGAGTGCTGATTCTTTGAAATACATACATATATATATATATCTGGACTCACAGTAAGTATTTTGTTATGAAATGTCTCAGGTATCCAAACAGCAATGCTTATAATCAGAGCACATTACTTTCAGTTAGTCCACGTGCATTCAGACATAACTGTATGCAGTGACATTGAGCCATGGAAAAACTTGGGCAGGGAAATCCACATTCTTCCACTTGATTCTAGACTGAAAAGCGGTGGCTACTTAATCACTGCGGTCATTTAACACAGGCCAAGCGCTTCACCACGTGTCACCAGGCAGACAGAAGGGCTCTGTGCATAATGAGGAAGGAAAAGGCGTTTTGAAAGCACACACAGTGCTACCAAAATTGTGCATGTTCCCCTCCAAGTTGGTTCTTTTAATCGTTCAAGATGTGTTCAGGCTGTAACCTCTGACACCTTTATCTGTCCAGGTCATAGCATTGTAAGTGTTTTCTTGGGCTTTAAAAATAAATCTGTTTGGGGGAGGGAAATTGAACCTGCATGGTAATGTTAGGCAAGCGCTGGAGCTGAGAAAGTAAAAATCACCGTTTCCATGGTAACGTTTAACTTGTCTGGGTCGTACACATTTCCCAAGAAATACATTCACCAGACTGTGTAGTGAAAAACAGTGCTCCACGGGCATACAGAAGTAGATCTTCCAGTTCCCTGACTCTGGGGTCTTCCCCGGTTAACCCGTGTGTTCCAGCAAAGCCTGGGCAAGGGGCTCGCAGAAGTCCACGTGCTGACCTCTGTCAGCGTCTTCCTAATGGCAGCAGTAAGTTCTCCTGTGAGTAACTCCGTTTCCTTCCTTTCTCCTCTGCCAGATATATGTTGGGTAAAGGAGGAAAACGGAAGTTTGATGAGCATGAAGATGGGCTGGAAGGCAAAATCCTGTCTCCCTCCGACGGTCCGTCCAAGGTGTCTTACACCTTACAGCGCCAGACTATCTTCAACATTTCCCTTATGAAGCTCTACAACCAGAGGCCCCTCACCGAGCCCAGCCTGCAGAAGACCGTCTTAATCAACAACATGCTGCGGCGGATCCAGGAGGAGCTCAAGCAGGAGGGCAGCCTGCGGCCCGCCTTCACCCCGTCCTCCCAGCCCGGCGCCTCCTCGCTGAGCGGCGGCTACCGGGAGGCCCCGCCCGCCTTCAGCGCCCCCGCGCCCCCGCCCGCGCACCCCGGGGACCTGGCCAGCACTACACCCCTGGAGGCCTGCCTCACCCCGGCCTCGCTGCTCGAGGACGACGACGACACTTTTTGCACTTCCCCGGCCGCCCCGCCGCCGCCCGCGGCCCCCCCCAGACTCCCCTCCCCGGCCCTCCCGCCCGAGAAGGACAGCTTCTCCTCCGCCTTGGACGAGATCGAGGAGCTCTGTCCCACATCTACCTCCGCCGCCGGGGCCGCCACTGACAGCTCCAAAGGGGGCGCCAGCGAGGCCAGCGCCCCGAAACCCGAGGGGCTCCCCGACGGCCGCCCCGACGACCCCAAACTGATGGACTCTCTGCCCGGGAATTTCGAGGTCACCACGTCCACGGGGTTTCTGACGGACCTGACCCTGGATGACATCCTGTTCGCCGACATTGACACGTCCATGTATGATTTCGACCCCTGCACCTCCGCCTCGGGCACAGCCGCGAAGATGGCCCCCGTGTCGGCGGACGACCTCCTCAAGACCCTCGCCCCCTACAGCAGCCAGCCCGTCGCCCCGAGTCAGCCTTTCAAAATGGACCTCACGGAGCTGGACCACATCATGGAGGTGCTCGTGGGGTCCTAATCCCGGGGACACCACCCCCCCCCCCCCCCCCCCGCCCCGGTGACCGTGCCGCCCGGACCCTGCGAGTGTCCCCGCGCCCCGACAGCGCTCCGCACTGTGCATGCACCCTTGCTTGCCTTTTTCAGAGAAAAAGAACGTTTTACAAAAGGATCACACTAGTTTTTGCTTTGAGCAGAGTTGGAGTGCCTTCATCCAAGTATGACCACTTTCAATACACGTTTTTGAGTGGTTCCTCAGAGACCTACTACCCTGGAATAGGAAAGAATACATTTGAAGACAATGTTGCTGTGTCGAATGGCAAAAATTAACAGTTCAAGTGAAGCACAAGGAATAAGATGGGAAAGCTGTAAATTGCATGTGCATATTTGTCTATTTTTTCTATAAGTTTTATTGCAAGAGGTAAAACAAAGAAAAAGTATATATATATATATTATTTAGATAATCTCAGTACCTTTTCCGGCATTTTCGCCCTGTATAGGTTGACTTGGCAATTCAGCCTTTTTAGAGGCATTAACTCCTCGTAAGTGTTGCATTTACATGGCTGTTTAGAAACTGCTGCCCAAATTTATTTTATATTTTTGTACAGATTCTGCAGTTTATGATATTGTTTTTCTAAAAACAAATGCTGTTTATACATATGAGATAGCTATTTTGATAGGATTTGCTCACATAGTTCCTGCAAACTTCAGATGTACAAGTTGCACTTGTACTTTTATAGCGTTGTAATGTTTTATATGTGTTTGGTGCAAAGAGAAAATTGGATCAAATCAATCCGCAGCGTCCCCCAAATGCAGACACACACACACACACACACACACACACACACACACACAGCGCTTTAAGAAAGGGCCAGGCGATATCACACCCAAATTTCACAAGCGCCGGCCTCCTGGCATGAACACCCGCCAGCACTGTGACTTCCAAAGCCAGAGCCACATCTGCTCATCAAACTTGCATTAAGCAGTTGGCGGGAGGTGGCCATGGAGCTCGGGGTTTAAGTGATGGTTCTCTTTAGCTCCCTCTCTTGAGGGGGAAGACTACCGAATACTCACTGTATTTATGCCAAGTTTGCGCTTTTAATTGTTTTTATTTTTTTTAAAAAAAAAAACACAAATCTTTCCTTTTTGGCATAATTTTTATGATGACCTGAAATTTTACATGTGAACAAAATTTTATGAAAAGCAACCAACCTCTTCTTGGAACTAAACCCTTTTGCAATGCTTAGGGCTCCTAGAGAAAAAAATCTCCCCCAGAAGGCATCCATCATGTTGCCCAATTGTCTTTTCCAGCTTCCCTTCCCTCTGTTGCTAAATGCTGAAAATGGTATCTTCATGATCACCACCATGAGCTCGGCCCACCTCGGCCCAGCCCAGGATGCACTCTTGAAACAGCCGTGGCCCTTGAACCAGGAGTTGGTCCCATTATGTCACAGCTTCCAATCTGGTTGCTTTCTTGAATCAACTGCTTTAACTACACTTCACAAGGCTGTTTTACCCAAATACACAGGACTTTCTATGCATGTTCCTCCTCCTCCTCCTCCCCTTGCCACCCTCACCCCCTACCCCCTACCCCCAAACCAGGACACTTGAGAAGTAGCTTTTTATTCCTAACGGTGTACATTTAATTTTGAAATGTTTGCAATGTATCATGCTTGTTGCCGACATTGTTTATGGCCTTTTCCTTTCAGTTGTTTCTTTCTTCCAATGGTACTGTCGCTGGTTACATCCTATATTTTTGAAATGCAGGTGGCTTCTTTAGGAATAACTTTTATATTTATTTAAGAATTTTTAAATTATGGGATTTGTGTTGTTGTTGTTGTCTTTGTTGTTAGTCATTTGTCAATATTCAGTCACCAATTCTGCTCACTTCTTGCCATGGATAAAATTGAGTCTTTCTGGCCAATTTAAAAAAAGACAGCTTTATAAGATGGCACTTTAAACAAGCCATAGATAGTTTTATTTTTATAATGCACATGGCAAAACAAATACATTTGTGATGAAGGAATTGCTCATCTAATCAAAAGATTCATCGTGCATGGTATGATTAAATCTACATTCTAATTTATTTCCCCGCCCCTCCCCCACTTGAATGTGTTTTTAAAGGCTAATTATCAACTCAGGAGAGCAGTGGGAAACAGATCAAATTGCTCTTGTTCTCCTACAAGCAACCTCCACCAGGACACCTTGTACTGCTGCAGATGTGTCATTTCCTGTGATGGGACCAGGGACCATATACAGGTGAGGGGAGGGTTGTTGTAAATGCTTCCAGTGTTGCTGTGCCTGTCCGTTTTAAGAGCTTCCTTTTTCTGTGGAGAACAAGCCAGCCCGGATGCCACGCTTTTGATAACTGGAGGACCTGGTACACTCACCACATGCTGCACACTTATCCATATGTATACGTACACAATAGTGTTGATTATTCCGAACAATAACAGGGTAAGGCGGTTGATTTGCCGTTGTTAAAAGCTGATTTACAGTAACTTAGAACAACTGTACTTTGGTTGGATTAGCAAATCGTGTGTTTAAACAAATCCCATATGTTGGGCAACAGTTCAAATAAGCACGGCGAAGTGTTGCCCAGACGTGGTCTCGGACTCTAGTATTTGTAAGGCTGGTCTTGAAAATCAAAACAAACAACAACAAAAAAAACGCCCCAACATCAGGCAAACGCTTGTCAGCTCTGGACACCCTTGCCGTAAACGCTCGATATTCACGGTCTTCTGAGGAAGACCCGGGAAACGAGTGGCGCGGTTTAAAAAGAACAAAACCATCAAGTGTTCCCAAAGCGATGTCCCAGCAGGGAAGACTGTGAGCCGTGTGCGATCTGCACGTCCCAGTCTGAGCTCGGCCTGGGGCGCGCCTCCCCCGTGCAGAGGACATCGGGTGGCCTTCAGAGTCAGGCAGGCAGTTCGAGGTGCCTTCATGAGAAAGACGTGCTGGGTGTGACTGGGAGAGGACACCCATGGACAGTGATGTGCAATGAAGTGACAAGATGAGAGCAGAATATTAAGAGCTTTGAATTTGAAGTGATTTTTTTTCCGTAAGTTATTTATTCCTTTTTTTTTTCTGTGTAAATATATTTATTTTACTGTGGAGCTCTAACAACATCTGGATCGTAACATGTGCAGAATGTATGGTAGGAATGTATTCTCTGGTAGGCATGTCAATCTGTATTAACAGGGGGTCCGAGGCAGACCCCCGGGTCGTCTCATCATATGCCCAGTCCACATTCATTTGTACTCTCTTCTCCAATGTGGGTCTATTTGAAATATGCAAAAGGTAGGGGTGAGGGATGTTTCAATACCTCCAAATTTTTAAAGAAAATCAAGCATCAAAGGGTTGATCTTTTTAAATGTTTTTTAGTAGCACTTTCTCTCTCCAACAGAAGGGGCAACCACACTGACACCCTTGTTCACACCACAAGGTGAGAACTAGCCAGGGCCTCCTCTACACCTCGAGTGTCTTTATCAATTGAGCTTTTTATTGCCATAGCCCCTTGGCGCGTCCCAACTGCCCTGAGGTCAATCAAGGAAAATTTCTTACATAAATAAGCTCCAAAGAGCCGAAGTATCAACTTACGGATCGTTTTTAAAGCTTAAATTTATTAACCACCTTTGTGGTAAACAATGAATTATGAATACCGCTGGGCAGCCTTCTTAAATGACAGATGTTTAAAAAAAAAAAAAAAAAGACTCTACCTAGTGTAGCGATTGATATTTTCCATGAATTGTCTTAATTTAAAAACCTTGCTGTTACAAATTGGGCCTTCCTACATTTTATGAAAATACCGAAAAGAGCATATTGGACCTATTCTGGCTGTAAATGGTTAACTTCCTGTAATTGCGGGCGAACAGCGAGGTGTATGTTCCTGCTTGTGTACCGTTGTCTTCAGTGCTTCTAAGAATGAGTCTAAATGTTTCTTGAAAATTAGCCAGGATCAAATGCTATTGCAGACAAAGCCAATAAAAACCTTGGACATCTTTTGGGGATAATAAGTTTGGAAGAGAAGTGCAGTCCATGCAAGCAAACAACCAAGATTTTGGAAATGATGTACATAGCGACATTTGGTGCATAGTTTTTAAGGAGGATTTTGTCTAAAGAGGAAGTGTAACCTTTCCCCCACAGACCTGAGAGCTGTGCCTTTTCTATGCAATATTACAGACGTTACATTGGAACCCCGATGGCTGTATTCACATGTAGGTTTGGGCTGTAATCGAAACAACTGGACAGAGGAAATGTACATGGAAATGAGCAGTCTTACTTTTGTAGTTTTATATTATACAATAAACAGTTAAAAGGTGACAGAGGTGCGTGTGCAGCTTCCTTCTGACCTGAGCAGAACCAGCTCGGGACACAATTTGCTCGTGTTAAGGAACCACCCCCCAGGGCCTCTGCCAGAGCTGGTGCCGACAACGACCTTCCCTCACCGCTGTGGTCTCAGGAGGACCTTTCTCTCCTCACCCTGCCTCTGGGGCCCTTCTCGGACTCCTCATTCTCGCTTCTCTCCCTCCAACTCTCTGAATAGTTTTTTTTCCCAGGGTTTGGGCAGTGACTAGAGTGTTGCAGAGCCTCCACTCCTCCTGGCTTTCCCAAGGGATTCTAGTCCACTCAGGTGTCTGAAAACTTGTTTTAAGGTCCTGCCTCTCTCCTGAGCTCTGGACTTAACTATCAGACTTTGTGTGTTTGAAAACAGCCTCGTTTCCCCCATGGGGCCTGTTCTTCCCCTCTGGGCCTCTGTTTGGCCTCACCACCCTTCCCCCAGGCCTAATCCCCCCCACCTCCCCGCTCTCCCAACCTGTTCTCCAGTCCAAGCCACATTCTATTCCCAAATGTTGGCCACTCCCCACCACCTACTTTCCATCTCCACCACAGCTTCCCAAGAGGGCGTCTCTGGTTAGGGCTCCTGCTTCCTAACGACGCCAGCACATCCTTGATGCTCGAGTTGACACCCCAAAGCACCAGTGGTTCAGGCATTTTTGCACATCTTCCAAGCAGCCCCCCGGTTTATACAACCTGGCCTCCCCCTCCGCCTTCCAGAAGTTAATGGAGGAGATCCAATGCAACCTCCTTGGCAGCCGGGACATCTGTGACGGGCCTGTGGCATCTAGCCTTGCCTGGTCCAGGCAATTCTGGCCACCAGACCGGCTGGTGAAGAGATGAAGGAGTGGCCTGGAGATGAGAGGCCTCGGAAATGAAGGTTCCATTCAATCAGCAATGGAATATGGGGGAGGGGCATTGGGAGAGGTGTTATGGGTTGAACTGTGTCCTCAAGACAAGTTATGTTGAAGTTCTAACCCCCAGTACCTCAAAATGGGATCTTAATTTGGAAATAGGGTATTTACAGAGATAATCAAATTAAAATGAGGTTGTTGGGGTGGGCGGGCCCTACTCAATATGACTAGTGTCCTTAAAAGGGGAGCAGATATCAACACAAACCCACAAGGACAGCGCCATGTGAAGATGAACACAGAGATCCAGGTAATATGTCTACAAGACCTGCCAGCAGACCTCAGAAGCTAGGGGCCTGGGACAGATTTTTTTCTCACAGCCCTCATAGGAACCAGCCCTGCTGACATCTCAATCTCTGACTTCTAGCCTCCAGAACAACACATCTGTTGTTGAAGCCAATCTGTTACAGCGGCCCTAGCAAACTAGTATGGAGAGAAGAGCAGGATGAGTCTTTCCAGACATCCCAGTAGAGATACTCATTAGGCAGCTAGGAATTAGTCTGCCGTTCAGTAGAGTGGACTCTGGAATAGGAGCAGCCACTGTTCCTTAGACATAACTTCAGCAACTCATTCAATTTCTCTGCTTATGAGGCCAAGATAAAGTCAGACCTAAATCTCTGTGCAAATGTTGACAATGCAATAAAAATTAAAGTTGCAGATGTTGTCTACCTTCTCATGCCTACACCCATGCCTAGCCATAGTAGGCACTCAGAACATTTGTTGAATCAAAAGAAGAGAAGAGCCCTGTAGTTCACCCTTCTCTAGGGCATGAGAAAAGCACAGAAGTCAGTCTTCATTGTCTGGGTCCCAGGTCCACTCCCATCCTGACCCTTCGGATGCCCCATTCCCAGCACACTGCATGCCCTGGGGTATGTCCCCACTTCTGCTTGTAGAAATTCTACCATCACTCCAAGCCAAGCTCAAGTGCCCATCCACATCCCCGAGTCAGAACCCACCTGCTCTCTCCTGGAGGGCTCTGCAGCTCTGCTAACACACTTAGCAAGTCCTGCCGTGTCTTAGGTTAGCTGCACGCTGCTCATTTCCTCTGCTACCCTCTGCTGCTCCAAAGAGCAGAAACTCTGTGATAGTCATCTTTGCCACAGGTCAGCAAACTATGGCCCTTGGGCCAAATCCTGTCCACTGCCTGATTTTGTAAGTAGAGTTTTATTAGAACATGGTCCTGTTTATGGATTTGTGTATTCTCTATGGTTGTTGCCCTGTTACAGTGGCACAGAGAACACAAGGCTTGGTCTCAAAATCTAAAGTATTTGCTCTTCAGCCCTTAACCGAAAATGTTTCCCTGATCTTTGCAAACCAATGCTTAGGACAGACAGTGTCTGGCCATAGCTGGGCCAGGCCACAGTCCCTGTTAATGGAGGAGGGCCTGGGAAATGAAGGGGCTTATATAGACTGGAAAGTACACCCCAGGAAAGTGGATAGAGTCCAGGTGTTGGAGGGGATGGTGTGAGGGCCAGAGAGGTAGAGCAGTCAGAAAAGTCACATAAGAGTGGACATCTTCACAGAACTTAGGACCAAGAAAGGGGCCTAGACGTGGAACTAATGGTCAAAGAGCCCCATTTTAGATGTGAAAGCTGAGACACAGAGAATTGATTGTTGTCTAAGGCAAGACACAGTTTATAGCACTGAGTTGCAGAGTCTGGCTCTGCAGCCAGACTGTCTGAGTCTGAGTCCTTGCTCCACCATTTACATCTGGAGCCTCGTGCAGATTCCAGAGCCTCTCTGTGCCTCAGCTTCTCGTCTATAAAAGGGGTCAGATTGAGCTGATCTTATGCAATGGCGGGGATTAAAGGAGTCCATACATGTAAAGCACTTAGAACAGCCCCAAAACATAGAAGAAGAAGAAGGAGGAGGAGGAGGAGGAGGAGGGAGAAGGAGGAGGGGGAGGGGAAAGTGGAGGAGGAGAATGAGGAGGAAGAGGAAGAGGAGGCGTTTAAAGGGCAGCTACAGCTAACATGGCAGTGGGCAAGGTGAAGATCCAGGTCTCCGCTCAGTGTAGTGTTTCCTCTTTATGTTTTTAATATATTTTATTGATTTTTACAGAGAGGAAGGGAGAGGGATAGAGAGTTAGAAACATCGATGAGAGAATAGCATCGACCAGCTGCCTCCTGCACACCCCCTACTGGGGATGTGCCCGCAACCAAATTACATGCCCTTGACCGGAATCGAACCTGGGACCCTTCAGTCCATAGGCCGACGCTCTATCCACTGAGCCAAACCGGTGGGGGCTCAGTGTAGTGTTTTAGGTTGAACCTTAAAGCAATGCTGGGGTGTTTTAGCGCTGGAGGCACGTTTTGTGGGCACACCATCTCCTAACACCATGCTTGTCGTCATCATGGTCAGCTCTTTACTTACTGAGGACACTGCTCCAAGTCTATGGCAATCGGGGGTCCCAGAGTCCCTGCTGCCTCTTCCATCTTTGCTTTTAATGTCCTGTTGCTCCTCTTGGGAAGGTATCTTTGAATCAGGAGTAACGGTCCCCAGGGTTACAACTCACTGAGCAGGCATGTGCCAGACACCACTAAGTGGACTCCTCGCCCCAGTCCTTGGACGTTCATCTCACCACCCCTGCTTTACACAGGAGGGAGTCCAGGCTCAAAGAGTTTAAGCAACTTCCCAAAAGTCACACAGCTGGCAAGTGGCAGAGCTAGGACTGTGGGCCGGGCCTCTCTGACTCATACAACCACATCAGCACACGCTCCCTGTTGCTTGTTACTGCTCCTGGTTCCTCGGGGCCCCCAGACCGGCTGACAGGAGGCTGAGCAAGGTGAGAGGCTGGAGACCCTGTGGGGGCTTTACCCCTTTCACTTGCCTGACCTTGACCAAGTCACCTCACACCTCTCTTCTTTCTCGGGGTGTGAAGAACAACATCCAGGCATTGCCCGGAGGGACAAGAGGAGGAAGATGCCCCCGGGGACAACATGAGCCAGGAGTTGGGAGAGCCCTACAGGGCTCAGTGCCCCCCTCGGTTCTCCGATCTTGGCTCTGTGTGACCTTGGGCCAGTCACTGTCCCTCTCAGGGACTCGGTTGACAGGACGACTACATGCCAGTGCTTCCTGTTGAGGCTCTCCCTGGGGGCAAGTTAGATCCCCCGGGCCTCCGCCTGTATCCAGGCCTGGGGTCCTGCCTGGTGGTTTTACTAAGCTCTCGGATCGGATCGAGCACCATACTCTGATTTCCTAACACCATGCTTGTCGTCATCATGGTCAGCTCTTTACTTACTGAGGACACTGCTCCAAGTCTATGGCAATCGGGGGTCCCAGAGTCCCTGCTGCCTCTTCCATCTTTGCTTTTAATGTCCTGTTGCTCCTCTTGGGAAGGTATCTTTGAATCAGGAGTAACAGTCCCCAGGGTTACAACTCACTGAGCACGCACATGACACAGCTGTGAGCACGACCAGGGAGGCGCACAGGCTGGCATTGTCCCTGGAGCTGGGAACCCCCTTGCAGCAGGCTGGCTGCCCCAGCCCACAGGCCGCCAGGAGGCCCCCCTCCCTCCCTCTGTCCCTCCCTCCCGCCCCTCCCCGGGCTGGGCGGCCAAGCTGCCAGCTGCTAGCAAGGCCTATTGTTCAGCAGTGACAAGAAATGGCTGCAGCAGCTCAGGCGGGGGAGAGGCTGGAGCCAGGAAGGGGGAGGGGTGGGGCGAGCTGGGAGCAGTCTCCGGACGCAGACACCACCTCAGGGGGGTTGGCCTGCCTGCCTCAGGAGCCAGAGCACAAACAGCGACCCCCCTCCACTCACCCTCCCCCCACCCACCACACCACTTCTTTTCCACTTGTCTTCTCAGGGCGTGATTGCTGGTGGGAGTGTGCGCCACTGTTTGGTGCGTTGGTGCGCGGAGCCAGGCCGCCTCTAGAAAAGGATTTATGGTCACTTACCTCCCAGCTGAGTGTCTGGACACAGTGCCAGGTGGCCCAGCGCCTTTGAAATGGTGTTGTTCAAAGTCAATCCAAGCCACACGCTCGCAGGACTGCGGCTTCCCTGGGCCTGGAGAGGGTCCATTGGTGGCGATAATCACCCCCCACATTCACAGACACTCGCATTGTTGGATTCTCA